TAAAAAATACAAGGGCTGAAAACCCTCAGATGTCAGGACACAGACCAACCTCTAATAGAGGAGATCAGGAACTTCCTCTGTAAGCAAGTTATTGTGTAGTTTCCTACTTCAGGACTCCTTGCACTTTTCTCAGAAGCATCTGGTTCAGGCCACTGTTAGTGACAGGATGCTGGACAAGAAGACCCACAAGAAGACTGTGATTCAGTCTGGCAGTTCCTATGTCTACATAATGGAGCAGATCTATTGTTAAGAGTTATTCCCAAAGTCTAATGCATCTGATATCAAATGAATAATTTTTACGACTGATTAATATTTGATCTGCTGTTGCCTGTTCCTGTGCACACAAGGACCTCACTGTCCTTCAAATCCTTCTGCTTCCTCCCCCCTTTGCGTGTTTTCCCCCCACCCAGTCTGCTCAGGAGCGTTCAAGTGCTGCTGCTGCAGCTTGCCATGACTGGATTGTATAACTCATAAAAATCCTCCCAACAATGTAGCCCTCTCTTCCTGGGGTATTGCACCAAAGGCCCCACCCCTTGTGGCTTGATGGCCTTCCTTAATGTTATTTTGTTTCAGGTTTTACTTACAGTATCTGACCCCGATCTTGCAAACACTTATGTTCACACTTAACTCTATACACATGAGTAACTTCATTGAGCCTGTGCATGCAGTTAAGCACACATGTAAGTGTTTGCAGGAACAGAGCCTTTGCTTGTAAGGCTCCAAGTGTTTTGCCACCACAAGGAAAAAAAAATTTCCCGCTCCCCCCCAACTCCGCCCCTTCCTTGCCCCATTCCAACCCCTTCCCCAAATCCCCAGCCCCGCCTCCTCCCTAGGCACACCGCATTTCCCCTCCTACCCCTCCCTCCCAGGCTTGCCTAGGAGGGAGGGGGGAGAAGCAGAGCAGCGGCACGCTCAGGGGAGGAGGCAGAGGTGAGCTGGGGGCGGAGTGGTTCCTTTGCCCCGCCCCCCCCCGGGTTACTTCCTGCGGCCCTCCACGCGCCCCCCACCTCCGCAGCTCACCTCTGCTCTGCCTGCTCCTCTGAGTGCACCGCCGCCACTCCGCTTCTCCCCCCTCCCTCCCAGGCAAGCCTGGGAGGGAGGGGGG